TGTAGAATAAACTTATGCAAAAGATGCTTGTTAAAGTCTTGAAGAAATGTGTATGATGGGGAAAATGAAATCCCCATTGCTCTGAGGATTCCTGCACTGTCAAGAGGTAGAAAACCAAAATTTCTTCTAATCCTATGATTCTATGAAAATGTTCACACTGTTGTAAAGGCATATAAACTTCGCAAACTTTTTGTTTATTTAGTGACACTGCATTCATTGATGAAGAAACTCTTGGTCCAGCTTTGCTCCAATTAGTTGTGGATGAGATTGTAAAGCTAATGATGTAAAATACACTTTAGTTAATACTCTATATCCTGTAATTCATGGATCAGAAGGACATTTTTCTAGAAAATGACAGTGTGATATTTGATCAACAATAATATTATTCCTTAGCAAAGGTACTTAATATGTTGTGTTCATCTGCATTTTCAAAAAACCTTCTGTCCTATAATTGAAAAGTGCTTTACTTTGTTTTGGTTTCACCAGCAGTGAGTAGAAGCCTTGTTGAGCAGGACAGCTTATTGTAAAATATTAGTGGCCATTAATTTTCATTATGGTAATAGCCCACAGGGTTCAAGCTACAATTCTGATAAATTGCACAAACCAACATGCATACCCACTGATTGCAACATTAGTCAAAATTCAACTCTTGACATTCATATGCAATATTTATGTGACCCGCATCACGGTAGTACTAAATGACCCAGAATATTTAATACATTTTGTTTGTATTTTGTGAAGCATAGTATAATTTTCAGTTTACAAATGAAACAGTGAAATTTGTGATGTTGTTAAAAGCAAAAATTACATTTGCTGTGAGTCTTAGCAGAATTTACAACATTTATATTACTTTGCTTTTATAAGTTTAGCATAAACTATTTACTATGTGACAAGGTATAAAAAGGTAAGAGTTGCCGGTTTCTCCTCTAAGCCCAAATGACAGGTCATGGGAACAGCCAATGGGCATGGCCAGAATGAGGTGCTGCTGGCCATAGCCACTCTAATTGGCAGTCACTGCCAAAACTTACGGTACATTCTTTGCAGCTGTCAAGAAGTGGACAATTGATTTCACCCAAAACCAAGATTGTCACAGAGGCTTCCCTAGCCAGATTTATTGAAAAGAAAATGGTATTAGGTGACAGAAATCTCAACAATGGGATTATTTTCACTTTCAGAAACTATTTTGTCTCCCAGCTTGCTAAGGTGGGAACTTTTTTTCTGTTCTTAACCATAATATCTGTGTGAACTGAAACACCATTTTTTTTACTAATAAGAGAGGAATGTCCAAATGTTCATAATAGGAATCTTTCTCAAGCTATGAACCTAATCACTTATCGATTGCTCCTTTCTATTTTACCTTTCTTCAACTTCCAAATAATATATTATCTGCACAATAGGGAATGCAGGTTGAAGTCAGAAGCAATTTTCCCAATGGTCTTGATAACCTCTTTGTCATATTTGTAGAAGAGTGCTAAATCATATTTGTGGAAGAATGATCAAAACCCAAATTGTTTTATGTAGGAGGACATAGGATAAAACAGGAATAACAGATAACTAGATATGTATTTAATCAGAGTTCCCCAAACTGATCAATACTGACCTTTAAGAGTTAATGGAATTATGTATTATTATGGACATGGGTTATCATTCAGATTCAGAATCTGACTCATAACATTGCTTCAGATGAGCCTATGGATTGTCAGCCTCAGAATTCATCAAGGTGTGATTCACTGGGGTTGATCAACCACAGGCGTCTCCTGATCAATTGAAGGATGAGGCATGACTCCCAAGTTCCAGATCTCAAAGTATGCAGCAGTAAGCAAAGCAACATTAGTCAATGAGGTTCCTCACTAGGTAAAGTGTAATGGAACCTATCAATTATCTTGGAGAAAGAGGAGACAAGATGTTGTCTAGGAAACACTCAGACAATAGAAGCAGGAGAAAAACTGCAGTCAAGAAAAGAAACTTAGGAAAAGTCCCTAATGGATCACACAGTTAAAGTGGAGATGGGAAGTTTTGTTTCTTCAGACTTGCAAGATTCTGTTAATGTAGCCTTACAATAAAATAGTATCAGTTCATCTTGTCTTGTTTCCTATCTGGTTTATTTGGGAGGGCTGACACAAAGAGTGAAGCCTGAATATTTAAGCCACATGCCCAGATTGATTTTTGGAACCATTTTGTCTTCAGCTTTACTTGGAATCAATAGTTTGGAATTTCATTTCATGACTCGTTCTTGTGTTTCCCTGCTTTTGAACTCTTGACTATTAGACTGGCTAACTACCTGACTTGGCTCTCTTACTTCTGGAAAGAATTTGGACCATTTGCTACCTAAATTTGAAATGGAATTATTAAGGCAGGACTCTTTGCAAAGACCTTGCTTGATGAACTTGTCTATTGTTATCTGCCTAGTTGAGGTAAATAATTCAACTCCTTAGTAACTTGTGTTTGTTTGTGTTTTGTGTCACAAGCAATGTAAGTTAGAACAATAATTATTACTTGTAGTACTATTAAAGTGGTATTTATGAAATTATTTCCATATAATAAAAGTTTAGGGGTTGATGAAAAATCTGAAATATTATTACTCTTGATGTAAATGAACAGGTCCAGCACCCTTTTAAGAGTACTACACCTGTGTTCAAAGATATCCCAACTCCGAGGTCAATGGGATAGAGTTCACCAAATTCAAACAACTTGACAAATGATTAAAGCCCTCATCTCAGGCATTCACCCAGAGATGTTGAAGTCACCTGACTGCATGTTAAGGACAGAGCCTGGAAGTTGTTTTTCCTGTTGTCAGGTGATATTAGGTGGGAGAACACAGCTAGGGAAATTCACCAATTCCTGTCTTTCAATTAACCTATATTAAAATTGCAAGGATATAAAAGCAATCATCAGACTCATCATTAAGGGAAAATAGAGTTTGGCTATCAGGGCACCATAATATATACTAGCAGAGTCATTTACGTGGGATGGGCAGCCATACAATAAATAATAGATAAATAATGAAAATAATAAATTATTAAATGACATTAAGTAATAAAATATGTTAAAAATTATGGTATCTAGATAAATATGAATGTACTCTGAGGAAAAGCTTTCTGCTTATAAATAAGGTCTTTTTATGATTTTGTTACAAGAAATGGATGGACGGACAGATGAGTAGAGAACTAGATGACTTTCCAGAAGAAAAAGACTTCCTCCAACTTAGTATTAATTCCTTGAATGTGAAATGAACATCAGATCCTACAAGATCCTGACATGGACACAAGCACTCTCCCGTACACAGCAAGATCTATGTCTGTAACAGCATTCCAAACTATTTTACATAGTGATTCAAGGTGTATATTTGTATTAAATCCAACAAGTGTTCTGAATCATCTGCTCCAGAATAATGCCGTTAGAATCTCTTCTGTAGATAGGTCTTTAGATTCACCCATGTACTCCTGTTCCCCCCCCCTCTTTAAGCCACCCGCTATGAATTCTGTTCTTATGTCTAATTAGCTTTGTCATTTAAAAGGATTTATTCTCCCTTCTTTCTTGATGTAAGATTTTCCAGACTTTCCAAAACTTTTGCTTAATAATGTAATTTTACCATAATGATATATGCCTTAAAGACATTGAAAACATTGCACACCCTCTGACTAGTTTTCTTATTACAGTATAATATAGATAGATGTGTTTCTAGCTGCAGTAATTACTTTAATTTCATAGAAACATAAGACTGTTGAGTAATCGGCTATTACTAATGTAATTACTCCAACAAAATTGGTTCACAAAGAGACAGTGTTACGAGTTGTTCCTACATTGTACTAATTTAATAGTGAGTCACATTTATCTCTGAAGTGGATAATACAGGATAACAAAAATCCACATTGTAAATAAGATGTATGAAAAGCATTTTTGAGATGTACTATAGAGCTTTTCAAAATAAATCTGTATCTCTCTGTCATTCTTATGTCATTATTATTTGTATTACACTGCCTCCTGAAAATCAAGGCATATATTTGTCTTATTTGAATACTAAAGATGCATTTTTTTACATTTAAGCAGGTAAATATTAAACAGGTAAATATTTAAACAGGTAAATATTAAATTTCATAAGCAGAGAATGTGCACTACACAAGGTTCTCTAGATCAGGGGTTCTCAACCTTGGCAATTTTAAGACTTGTGGACTTCAACTCCCAGAATTCCTCAGCCAGCTTTGCCAGTCTTAAAGTTGCCAAGGTTGAGAACCCCTGCTCTAGATTTTCCCCCTCTAGTTTCATAGTTTTTAAAAAATGTTTTGAGTTGAATTCTCAGTGATGACACTTTGGTGCATTTTATAAAATGCATGTGCAGTTCCTTCTTTTGGTTTCATATACATTAAGATAGAAAATAGACGCAGCTCAGTTTTAGAGAAGAAACTGGATGAGGTTGATTGTTTGCTATAAAAGATCCTTTGCAAATCTATTGCTTCGAACTAGATTGTAAATAGAATTGATACATGTTCCACTTGTCATGCTGCAAGCCAGTTACCAAAAGTCATATCATATCATCATATCATCTCACAAGATATGAAATTATGATATAACATAATAACAATATTAAGTTATGCTATATTAATATATTACTGGAGGGATGTGCACTGTTTAGGTTTCTAGAAGGATAGCATTTCTGTGACTAATCATACTCTTCCTATGAACTAATTGCAAACCACTGTGCAAAATTGTCCAGAGCACTTGATGGATAGCTCACCAACAAAATAAGGAAGAAATAAGAATATTTTGCCTCTTTTATCACCAGATTGTAGACTTGAATATGAGTTCATATCATGTTCAGTCAATGATTTCTGGTCCTTCTTTAATGGTATTCTAGGCATTCATTCTGCCACTTCATCTTCCAGAAATTTAAAACTGAGGTCCTTGCTCATTGAATGTGGATGTCTTGAATATTATGCCTCAAGCCTTCAGTTTTATGTGGTACCCATTTGTTGCACAATGCTGCTAGCACACACAAATAATCTTATTAAGGATATTTATTAGCTGAAAAGTATGCCATTGTTACAAAACTAGTAAATAAATCAAATGGAAAACAGTTCCTTTCATTTCTAACAATTGAACATTAAAACAGGGACCTGAGCAAAGGGGAGTAAAATAAGAGTAAACAAATTTTATATGCACACACATATGGACAATGTTAGGAATTCATTTCAAGAATAATTTAAATATAGAATAATCCAGCTGAACGTTTTACTGCTCTGCTAATTTGCAACAAAATAATTATCAATTATGATAATATAAAAGCAGGAGAAATAGAATTAGAAAATAAACTAAGTGGGTTACTGTATATATTTTATCAAAATTAAAAATAATTTCAAACAATACTTTAGTTCCGCAAGTAAAAGACATTATTCTACTTTCAGTCCTTTGGATTTAAATTCAGAGTGAAGAATCTGTGATAAACATCTCCCAAATTCTTCTAGGATCATTTGTTCAGCTAAGCAAATGGAGTAATCTTGTTTTTCTGCCTCTTCACCTTGAGCAAGAAGACAGGCACATGTTGCCTCAACCACCTCCCAGGATATACACGTACTAGATTGTCTATTACAACAAACAATATATAATTACATTTTAAATATATAAATGGATGCAAAGAGAATTGCTGTACATAACCACCAAATTCTAAAGTTACTCATGGCTTAACTAACTCTTCTGTGATAGACTTGTATTTCAACACTGACTCATCCCTGAACAGGCGTTGAGTGACGGCAGAAGTCAGTCTGAGAGACACCAACGTTTTTTCAGTTTGCAGCTTTCTTTCTGCAACCAATCTCCTTTTATACAGGATTCCAATCTCCTGGAATCCTGTGAGGAAAAAGATAGGGACATGGCTGTCTGCAGGGAGGACAATTGCTGAAATATGAGCCGTGTTACAGAGCAATCTCTGCATACTTGCATGTGATGTTTTGGCAGAAAACTGACAAAAATGTATTCAATGAATGAACAGATTGGGACAGGCATATGAAAGGGGAGTTTTGAATTATGCACATCTTGTTATTTTGCATCTTCCCGGCTACCTATGGGTATTGTATGCACAGTAAAGCAGGGGAAAAAGTTGAATTAAGCTCCCTGCTGTTACCCACCACTCCTTGCAATTTTTCAGTACTTTAGTTCATTCTTTCAGAACTCAACTAATGCCAAATGTTAATTTTAGTCTTTAGTCAGACAATACCAATTAGTAATAAATGTACATTTAAAAATACCAAACCAGGGGGATCTTTTTCCACAGAAATAGATAGGTTTCATTGTTGTCTCTCAAACACTTATATTCTTGAAGAAACTATATAAAAATAGTAAAGATTACTTTACTTTAAAGATTCCTGAAGCTTTCCCTTATTGATTACTAATCTTTGAATGACTGGATTCAATTTAAAAAAAAATCTAGATTATGGAGGTTTCCATGTTTTCTATTTCCAACCATTTTGTAATTCAGTACAAATAAGATAATAGTAAATTCTGAAAAAGTTCTGAAATTGTAGTTGTATAATACACAGAACATATGCATTTGTACATATATTAGAAAGTACAGTTGTTACAAATTATTGAGTCTGGTTTGGATAACTACAAAGGAAAAGAACAGAGGTTGGAAGTCAATTATCTAAAAATATTCTCATAGTACAAAAGAAATGTCTTAGAAAAATATCACATAGGTAATTTCTACCTTTCTTTCTTGGTTTTTGATAATGTTTCAGAGTTAGAAAATGATTGAGAATCATTTCCTTCATTGGTTTTAAATTCCATTTCAATTGGCATATTCATTAATGTTTTTCGATCAGGGCTTTCTTCATAATTTTTGCATCCAACACATTTGCAGATAGATGAGCACATAATTTTAGCCTACACAGAAACAAAATATTCCTAAAAAGACATGTTATTTAATAAAGATCCACAGTAAAAAAATAACAACGAGATTGGACTGTTCAACAATCCAATCATAGAGCTGTTTCGTTGGAAATAAATCTCTTGAGTCCAGTGATATTTCCATTGAACAAATATTCTTATATCCAAAGAATGCTTAAATATTTTAAAATGAGAGGAATTTGCCTAATCCCTATCCAATTTTCACTTGCCCTACTATTCTAGAAGGTTTTCAATCTCTTTAAAAGGTTTGGGGTTCAAACTGTTTAGAAGATGAAAGATGAATTGAAAAGAAAAACCTCACTCTCTATTCTGTAAATGAAAATGTTCTCTGTCCAGAGGTGCAATCATAGACATTTAGGATCTAAAACTATACATTTATTTTAAATCTTTATTTACAGCTTTTCCAGATCTATGAAGCCATACATAGCAAACAACACCATTCACATCTACAAGATAGGTATAGACAAGATTAGATAAGTTTGACTTCTGGTAATTTCATAGATTTCTTATTAGGGCTACATAGTGTTTTGGATTTTATCTCTAAAAGTGGTTCAAAGTCTGTAAAACATAAAGCAGTTCAAGCAACTTAAAGTGCAGCCCTGTTAGGATGTTGTATATTACTGCTTCATTCATACATTGTTGCACTTCAAATTATCAAGATTCAAATCAGCCCATTGCACAGTCCTGATGTCTGTGTTATCTTCCTGGTTACAATGTAAAAGTGATTTGCCATTATCTTTTTCTGAGATTTTTTTTCAGATTTCCCAATTTTTGAATTTCTTAGTGGCATCCTGCCCTATCCTGCCCTGCCCTGCCCTATCCTAGTATTAAAAAATCTAACCACCTCTTAGCTTTTAAGGATCAACAAAAACTGGCTAGCTACTGCCATTCAGCATGCTATATAGGCAGGCATTTTCTCCTCGTTTTCTTATTTGCCATTCTCTCATCCCTTTTTAGGCTTTTTAAAATTTAAAACCCCTTTTCCCCCACAATTGCTTTCTCTAATTTTCCCTGATCACATATGCTGGAGGTTCCCCAACAAAATATTCTTAATGCCTAGTCTAAGTATCCTTCTGCTATGATAATACGGTACTTTTATAAAACTGATGAAAAATTACAAACCTCAAAGCATTCACAGTAATTTTTTAGGCACCCTGAACGCTTACAGTTACAACCTTTATTATGTCTTGGTTTAATATCTCCAAGTTTTCCTTTTCCAATCTTTGGCAGGAAAGCTTCTGGATTTCTGTCAAGACAAGCCTAAATAAAACATATTATTCATATAGAATATACCTCTCAAGCAATTTGAAGAAAAAGATTAGCTTACTTTCTTCCTAAAAACAAATAGTTCCTAAAGCAGATTATGGTTCACTCTTTGCAAGAGACAGAAATTTCTAAGCATACTATTGCTTCTATGAAATAGAATTATATAAGGCAAAGTGTCTGTCAAGCAGAATTTCACTGTCAAATTATCTAAAACACTGATACGTATTTTATTTAGTACATCAAGAATCCTTGATCTGAACCATTAGTCCTAAAAGAATTTTTGCATGTTTCACATGTTTGAAGAAACCCTAACAAGAACAGAAAATATGTTCTCCAAAGCATGTTTTTTTCCTTTGTACCCAAAGAATTGCTCAAATCTGTTAATTGCGGTACCATTCCTAATATTTCCAGCATTTTCCAGTAAAGATGAATTGAGAACCAATATGCAAATCACCTATGGTGACATGAAATTGCATCAAAGGGACTGAACAGAGATGTTTTTAACATAATTTCTCTGTCCCTAATTCAAGTGATAGGTAAAAAATGAGATGGTGTTAAGATATCACTATAGGTAGTCCTCAAGGTACGACCACAATTGAGCCCAAAATTTATGTTGCTAAATGAAATATTTATTGAGTTTTACCCCATTTTACAACCTTTCTAGCCAAAGTTGTTAAGTGAATCATTGCAGTTGTTAAGTTAATAACACGGTTGTTAAATGAATCTGGCTTCCCCATTGACTTTGCTTGTCAGAAGGTTGCAAAAGGGGATCACATGACCCCAAGACACTGCAACTGTCATAAATATGAGTCAGTTGCCAAGCATCTGAATTTTGATCACGTGACCATGGGGATGCTGCAATGGTCATGTGTGAAAAATGGTCATAAGTCACTTTTTTCAGTGCCCTTCTAACTTTGAACAGTCACTGAATGAACTGTTGTAAGTCGAGGACTACCTGTATTTCAAAAGGCTGTTTTAATTAATATTACTCAATTTTATATCCTGAATTGATGAAATATGTAAATGCAATTCATTTAAAATGTTTTTAAAATAACAAAGCAACCTAATAAACACAAAGTAAATAATTTGCATATCGAAATAAAAAGAGAACATAGTTGAATTACCTTAATAGCCTTAAACCGTTCTATTTCATGCTCTGGATTGTTATAACAATTATTACAGTTGCAATTACTACAGAAATCACCATTGGCAAAACAATCGCAGTATCTGTGTTTAACAAGAGAAGTATATTAAATTGTTTGTAGTTCAACATTTTCAGATAATGCTCACTCTTATCTACTATTTTTTAATTTATTTAAAATACTTGTATGGTCACTTGTCTTAACATCACAACTCTGGGCAGCTCATGAACCATAATAAAATCCATCAAAACGGTAAAAGTGTAATACAAAAAAAAGAAAAAAAAAAAGAATTGCTGTCCCTAACTGATTCACAACTGCAGTTACTGGGCTCCAGCTTCACCTTACCCCAGTGCCTGAAGGAACTGCCAGGTTTTCAACCCCCTCTGAAAGGCTAGGAGAATGGAGGCTTGCCAGATCCCAGGGGGAGATTATTCCTCCCACTAAGGGGTGCTGCAGAAAAGGCTTGCTACCCGAGTCCCACTAGGGCAGCGGTTCTCAACCTGTGGGTAGCGACCCCATTTGGGGTCGAACGACCATTTCACAGGGGTCGCCAAACAAGGCTGTCCGCCATTTCCCCCCCTTTTCTTTAGCTGTACTACTCCCTCTTATTCTATTGGCTTTTGAAAGTCAATAGAATAGACTCTATTCAAGAGACTCTATTCTATTGGCGTTCAAAAACCAATCAAACCTATTGGCTTTCAAAAGCCAATAGAATAGATTCTCTTGAATAGAGTCTAATTCGATTGGCTTTCAAAAGCCAATAGGAATTGTCCAGGCTGTCTCTGCCCTGCTGAGACCGCCAAAAGCCCCAGTCTGCAAACGGTGCTGCAAGGAAAGCTTCCCTCCCTGCTGAGCAACTACTAAAAGTAAGTAAAAGAGGGCCAGGGGTTGGAGGCCGGCAAGTTCAGGGGGGGTTGCTGGCACGCGTGGGGCCCGGCAGGTGGGCCGGGCCAGCTGGTGGCCCAGCTGGTGGTAGCCCTGTGCCGTTGCTGCCCCTTGCCAGCTAGGCCTCGGCCGGCGCAGGGGGCGGCACCATGCATGCGCGGCGCTCCCGGGCAGGGAAAGTCCTCGACTTACGACCGGTTGGGTAGTCCTCAACTTAACGACTGGTTGGGGATCGCGGCATTAAAAAGGTTGAGAACCACTGCACTAGGGAAAGAACTTGGACCAAACCTACTGTACTAGACTGAGAAATATGTAAGTTAAATTATATAGATTTCTATTAGTTATATCCTTTATATATTTTGTCACATATGTAGATACTTTGAAGACTGCCAACAAATACCCTTCCAGAAAATCAATTGTGCTAAAAGGCTGTGGGATACATTCATATAATCCAAGCATTTTATTATTATCATTTATTTGTTATGTTATCTTTTGGGATTGCTTTCCATTGCATGCTATTGCTCTATGTTTTGATATGCATCTAATTTAATGCAAAGGTTATTAACCATACATCCCATCTTCACTGTGAGCCATATTTAACTTAAGGTTATGTAAATAAGAAAAAATACAGAAAATAAAAGGCCTAAATGAAGTTCAGATAAACTTATATCCTTCTGCCATGCACAGTATTTAGCATATAAAAACAAAAGGCAACGATTTTTTCACTTAATACTATCAGGAAAATGTATAGTAATTTAGTACTATAATGCAGGGCTTTTCAACCAGTGGTATGGGTACCACCTGTAGTACATTGGCACCTGGCAGATGGTACGCGATCATCCTAGAAAAGTGGTAGCGGGGGAGGGGAATGAGCTGAACTGGTAGCAGCACTGCACAAGCCTGAGTGAGAGATAGCTGGAGCTGCAGGGCTGAACAGAAGCACCAGGATCAGTGCCGCTTTCCAGCTGATTGGCGCTTCTTTGGGGCTGTCAGGGCTCAGTGGAAGCACCAGGATCAGCACCAGGCTCCAGCTGGAGCTCAGCGCTGATCCTGGTGCTTCTGCTGAGCCCTGAAGAAGCACCAATCAGCTGGAGCTCAACACTGATCCTGGTGCTTCTGCTGAGCCCAGAAGAAGCACCAATCAGCTGGAATGTTGCAGCATCTCCAGGGTCTTGTGATTTACATTCAGATGCTTTGCAACTGATTCATATTTATGATGGTCACAGTGTCCCAGGGTCATATGAAGTGACCAAAACCTGCTGCAACCACCCAGCAGAAGGGGGGAATAAAAACCAAACACCCCCCACCCCACCCCCACTGCCAATCCTCAACAGAAATGCTCACAACAATGGAAACCTCGGACAGGAGGAAGAGCACCGCCGGGTGGGCAGGCAGCTGTCTTGCTCGGCTGTGGCTTGGGGGGCACCTTTTTCAGTGCCATTGTATCTTCGAACAGTCACTAAGCGAACTGTTGTAAGTCAAGGACTACCTGTACTTTATCACTTTTTCCTTTTTTTGTCATCACGTTTTTGACACCTTGCTAGGCGACTGGTGGTACTTGGATGTTGCCATATCCTAAAAGTGGTACAATGGGTCAAAAGGTTGAAAAGCCCTGCTATAATGTACATTTTGTCATGATTAGTTATTGTGTGGTATATTCTTTTAAATTGAAGAAAAAGTTGCTTTATAAGTGTAAAAGCATGTCTATGTTTATTCAAGTATTATATCTGAGTTTCCTGCAATAGCATCTGCAGGATATATTTGAGTATATATGAAAGAAACAAATTAAGCTTTTCCTTTCTTACATAGCCAAATAATATCTCAGTGACATTTTGTTTACTTACAGTTTGAGGCACTGCGATTTAGTGCAATTGCATGGCTTCTTTGATTTTGTATCCCAGGAAGCATAAGGAAACCTAAACAAACACATGTTGCATCTAAACTATTATGAAGCATTTATGGAGTTAGTGCATATTAGAAAGATGAAACCCACATAGCAGTAAGGTAAGTAAAAAAAATTGCTTCATTTCCATTTCTTCATTTAGTTTCTCTTTTTGATATCTACATTTTTGGTAGAATAATTAAATTATAAACAAAAATATTTATTATTTAATGATGTTTAAACTGTATACTTTGCATTTTTATTAAATTATCTAGTGATGTCACAACAGATAGTATTATATTGGGGAAAGTGCCCAAATATATTTACCTGTAGTTCCAATGTATACAGTATTCTCATGGTTGATTATGTAACAATATGAATCCTAAAATGAATTTTCCTTGCAAAATTTAATAAAGTATCTCAAAATGTAACCTTTTGCTCACTTGAAATGAAATATATCAAATTAGAATCTGTGTGCAGGCATCAATAAAATATATGTGCTATATAAAAATACTTTGTTTTATTGAAAACAATTGTAAACAATAGGTTTTTCAGTCTGCGGAGATAATTATATAAATGCCTATTTCATATAATGATGCCAGGAATGTATGCATTTTTACTATTCTTACCCAACTAAAGTTAGTTTTGTTGGCTCCTGAAGAGTCAGATCTGAACTGCTTGTATGTATGGATCCATTATCAGGCTGCTCAAAATAAAATCCAAACATTCTATTTGTATTATATTATCATACATTTACACACTATATAACATTACTATCAAACATGAATAGTCTTAGAGAACATCATTTGAAAGAACTGATACTTTAAATCATTGCCTTCATAACAGACTGTCTTCTATTACTACATATTGCACATTGTTGATTAGGAGCAGCTCCAGGTTGTTGAGCAGAACCCCAGAGAGCAAAAAGATCTGCATATGCTGTTCAATACTACAAATGTTGGAAATGTTTGAAAGAGTGAAAAAATGAATAGGTGAAACAAAAGAAATTATAGCAACGTACAGAGGATTTGAATAAAAAGGGAAGGGAAGGAAGCAATAGAAAAAAATGAAAAGCATATTTGAGTGAGAGAATTGGAAGAGAAAAATTAATTGATACATATCAATACATGCTGTAATTAAAACAAGTAATGAATGGTGATGAAATGAGAAATGAAAAAGAGCAAAGCCAAAGGAATGAGAGACTACGTAGATAATAATTAGGTAAAGCATAAGGATTAGAACTGGCTCTATAGTAGATAGTATGACATGGTTGTTATTAGCTTGGCAACATAAAATAAAATAATAAAATAAAATAATAAAATAAAATAGTCATAGAGCATCATAAATATCTTGGAAGATATTGGATGGTAAGGGGATGGCATTTCTACTTTTTGGGAGGGGACAGCCAGGTATCTCAGAAAGATTACCCTGCTTCACTGAAGGTTATTGACTGGAGATATCCATTCAGGTGAAGGGAAGGATACTAGCTCTATTAAACAGGGTGGGTCAGAATAATCTCCAAACATTTTGTTGCACAAATACAATATATTATTTCTACTATGAGTGTTGACAGACCCTATATTTTTTCTTTACTCTAGCTGTTTTTCAGCAGGGAAACTTTTTCCCCCAAAGTGCAAATAGGTTGAGAAATTATTCTATTCAGTTTCATGAAACATGGTGGTTGCCTCAATGTATCCTCACCCTGCAGAGGTAATGGAAAGCTCCACACAAGGGATACCAGCCCTTTCTTTAATATATGAAATGTATTTATTTATCCACACAGATTTAGAAACTGCTGGACTCCAAACAATTCTGGGTGGCTTACAGTTATCAGCATGGAAAGAAAAAAAAAACAGTTAATTGCATTACTAAGCCTTCTGCAGAGAAAGCCTACAATAAAATCATAGAAATAATAAGCATAGATATAGTATAAGATTATAAGATTAAAAATATTGAGTTGGAGGAAAAGGAAAACAATATACTTACCTCTTCAGCACAGGTATTCAGTTTACCTGCAACTGGCAAAAACTGCCCAAGTACAGATGTTACCGAGTTGCTTGCATCTAATAAAAAAAGTGCTTATTGAATGATATTTGTTGCAACAATATCTTCAGTAAATATCTGGGTAACATATCTAGATAACTAAGAATGAAGATTTTTGTTACCAAAAGCAACACTTGATATTTATTGTGATATATTTATTTCTGAAATAGAAGGATATCCTTTAAAAGGATATGTATCTTACTCCTCTGATAGGCAGAAATATGCTAATAAAATCTAGAAATGTCCTTCCTAGTGGAGGAACAATATCCTTCCAAATTCAGATGCCAAATAGCAACAAATAAATGTAGGCAGAAAACTGAAAAACTTGCTCCTATCTGTGAAGCAAAACTAGAGATCAGATTGAAAGAAAATAGGGAAAGGGCAAAAAATTAAATGACAATACTACAAAATAGACAGGCTGCTTATTGGTAGCTGAAGTTCTTTAAGTGGTCATATGTCCCCACAAATGAACTTGCATGCGTATACCTGTATATTGTATCTCAGATAATGGTCCATGCAGGAGGGATTATTACTATTATGATAATTTCTTGCACAGTCAGTCAGACTGGATTTGGCATTTTTGTCTACCTATTAAGTCCTTTCCAAGGATCTGGGATAGGCAGATGTTGTTTGATGGTCTTACACAGGATGTAAGTTGTTCAAAGTAAGACTTCATTTTGCAATTGACTGCTGTGTTTTTGTCAATGATGATGGTGTTTGAGCGGATACTTCAGATATTGTTGTTGTTATTGTCTCCATTTCCCTCTATACATTCAAACTATTCCTCACTATTACCTGAAATAGTTACATTCTAAAAAATAATAATATCTCTATAGAAATGGAAGGTAGATTATTTGAATGCAGAGATGACAACTTAAATAACCTTAGGTAAACATTCATGATTTTTTTCATTTCTGCGCATCATGAAAATGGGAAAGTAGCAAGTTAGTTATATTTACTGGAGATGAGTCAGGCAGTTGGATACTGTACTGAACAAAACATAGCTCTACTTAAGCTTATAACTATCTGAGATTGTGCATCTTATTTATAGTGAGTGATGAATAAGGTATTTGAGAAAGAATATCAGCTTTTGTCTGAAACAGGTCTTCCTAGAATGTGATCAAACTCCATTCTAGTAAATGTTTTCAGATTCTCAATGGCAAACACAAGTGTGTTAGCTGTTATGCAGTAAAAATAATGCCTGAGTAGTGTGGTGGTGGTGGTAAATACATTGTGAAGAAAAAGCGAGTGCTTGCTTCAGAGGTGAAATGACATACAAAAAGTTATGAAATGTTTTTGTGCAAATCCAGTAAAATAGCTGAGTACCTCAATGTTAAGATAATACAGTGAAATCTTTATTTATTTCAAAGGTGATGAGATCAAGGTAGAACCATGGTCTAAATAACATGAAATTTCATATCACTTTCAGTAAGAATGTAACATTTACATGGAATATTAAACTTACTGTATCTATAAAAAGAGAGAAATGGATGAAATAAATGATCCTCACTGTTCCCAAGACAGTTTTTTCTTACTGACGTGATAGTCCAAAGGAATATAACCTTCAAAGACAGTAGATGAAACAATAAAGTAATAAAAATCACTTTTGCCATCAAAGCAGAAAGTATCATAGAGACTAAGAAGGAACAATGGATATACATGCAAAATCTTAAGGAATTTATGAAGGAATCTTGTAAGATGCTATGAAAAAATTAAAAATCTCTGCAACAGAAGTTGCAGAATAAAGATGGTGAAAAAAAGGCTAATCTCACGGCATAAAGAGAAAGCAGAATCTTGACAAACTGTAACTCTGCATTCATTATTTTTATTATTGTACAAAAATGTACTGTCTATCAGTTCATTGAAATAGGGATCATTTTTTTTGGTGGAAGGATTCTGTACAGTATGTTAAGGGGAGAGGGAAATCACAGACCAATTATGTTTGTGTGACTTCAGATATAGAATTTAAATATCAAGCATGGCACTGATGAATGAGAAATACTACGCAGGAGTGAGGAATTCTTTCGGATATTTGTACAAAAGTTAAAGAGTGCTCAGGATATGAAACATATAATAAACAAGCGTATACAATCATTTTTGAACTAGAGCTACAGATAATTAGTTGCATTTATAATAGACTACAGTATCTAATATCTTGGAGATATAGTTACTGCATGGCCAACATCATAAAAACTCTTTTAACGATCATAAAAACTCTTTTAATGATCCTGTAATCCCTTAATTCGGGGTAGAGTTGGAGTGACTGGATGGAGCTGAATGTTTACTGGCCGGATGCCCTTCCTGATGCCACGCAGAGTTCACGGCAGATATTTTTTTATTTTGCCCTAGGAGAGAAACATCTACCCCTACTTAAGATTGCTCTCTCAACCTTTTCAGTAAGAAGCAAGCGTCTTCATCACTAGGTCACTCTGCCACTCGCATTCCATGATCAATACTATAATAGACTGTAAAACCTTGGGAATGATAAACAAAAGCACACAAAACTGAAAATGATGGGTCTCCCATTGCAAACTGCTGATATTTTTAATTGGACAGTTACATGGTATCAGTGCTATACTGGGAGCTAGCTTTTCCCAGAGCGGGAGAGTGAAGATTCTGAATAGGCAAGTATCACTGACAACAGAATGTGGGAAATAGTTTATAGTTAAATCTGTGAAAAATATAGAAAGAATGACAATTTTGAATCCAAGAGAATATAAGGTTGAGAATCATCATATCCTAGAAGATATCAACTGCTAATAATGGGTTTAGTTTTTGGATTTTAATAATAAGTCCATCTAAGCCTTGCTGTGTTGAGTCCTTGAAAAGCTTTTCCATAAGTTGTGGACAATTTTTTTCCCATTAGCTACTCTTGCTTTGAAATCTTACTTGCCATATTATCAAAATTCAAAATTTTAAAAATCCAAAATAATATAGTTGACTATATTCAGCTTTGGTTTCTTTCAATCAACCATTATCTTATTATTTCAAGCAGCAAATATTCCCAATATTTCCATGTTATCTACTAACTGTCTGTATTAGTATCAAGGATAGCCGTTTCTCTTCTGCATCCCTTTACCATTTCCATGAGAAAGTTTTCAGCAATCAAATTGTGAATTTCCTGAAGGATCAGACTTGGATCCAACAGATGCCAGGTAATTAAAGTGACTGTTCTGGCCCACATAGCTCTATGGCCCATATAGCTCTATGGCCCAGCTCTATGTTGGAAGGTCTGGCAGTTATTGGGTTAAATGCTAGGTATGTGGATGGGTCAGTGGGAGGAGTTCCAAAGGTCTTGGGGAGACTTCCTGGACACAAGCCACATGGGAATCTCTTTGTCTGTAAGAAGCATGGGCCATGGAAGGTCTCCCTATAAGTTGGTATAAAGAGCAAAATCTTCTTACCTAAGGAAAGGATCTGAAAGATGAACAAACATGTATTCCCAGCAGCACCAATCTCAACGTGAACGCAAGTAATCTTTCTCATTAAAATATATTTGTTTGTTATAAGATCGTTTCTTTTGAGTTAACTATCTGACTGGATTTGAAATATAACACTTTTGAATTTGGGTCAGTATAGTAAGAAGATTTTTTCATAATTTGTGCCATCTTTTGAAAGCAAATAGTAAATTGGCAAAGATTAATTCTCCTCTCAAAGCTGCAACAGTTTGAAGAAAGAGAATCAAATTGGTTAGCCTTTTCTCTGTATAAACCTTCAAGCAAGTAAAGATTCTCTTGATGCTTGTAAGAGCCTGCAAAGCAAAGCCAGCGTGTCTGTGTAAAAGACAGCTTTCAAGGAGTGATTCAGAGGTTTTGTTATGCTAATTCGCTTGCTAGCTAACCTTCAAAGTAAAAAGTACCTTGGACCTGTTCTCAAATTAATGTTTATAGCGGAGAGAAAGAAAAACAAAAATCTACACTTTTGTTCCTTGCTTGAAAAGTTTGAATTTTAACACCAAAAGGAGCTTGGGCTTTTCCCCCTCCCCTCTTTGCCAGTGAATCATGCAGCCTGAAACAAAGAACTGTTTAATGACTGCCTCTAAAGTTCAAACAAAAGCAAGGTTTATTGCCTTTCAATAAACTCATCTGTTGCCATAGTGACAGCCCTAGGTATGCTCGGAATTTCAGCCAATGTTATAAGGAGGAATCATCGCAGAAGCACCCCCTGGTGGTCATGCAATTTTTTTTTCTAGCTGAGTCACAACAGCCACAATTAATTCAGCACACAACAGAGCAAATCTGTTAGTTAAAGTGCAAGCTACTTAAAGTTATCCCAAGCTACCAACACCCCCCAGAGGGCACAGAGTGATCTTATCGGAAGCATTCACTCACTTACCCAAGCTGAGCACTAAGCTGTTCCAGCTTGAGAAATCAAAGCCAAGTCTCTTCGCTCATTATCACAGCTGATGACCCGGAGTGCCAGCCTGCAACTGACCAGGTGGGAGTTTGTACCTCTACATTCTCTCAGTGGCTCACTAGCAGTAACGTGGCAATAGGAAGAATTTGGCTAGCCTTTCTCCAGACGCCCCCTAGTGGTTAAAGGAAGCTCTACACGCAAGCCTTTAACCGCACACAGAGAAGCCCCTCTAGTGGACAAAGGGTGAACCTCAAAGCCAGAGCACCCTGGTAGCTGACCCACAGCAAGTGACCCCTAGTGGTGAAAGGGGTGAACTGCACTGAAGTACCCACAAACACAGGAGACCGCACCCAGTGGCATCTCCACCCACAGACAGCACCTCAGAAGCTGATCTACAAGTAGCGACCCCTAGTGGTCAAAGAGAGAAGTTCTTCAAATTCTCTTCAAAATAGCTGAGAAGGACACTGAACCTATCCTAGCCATAGCTGAGCATCCTACTGGTCTAGCAGAAGGGGTTCAACCTATCAGCCTAGTTGAGATACATCAACCAGCCCACAGACGCCATGCATTTACATCTGATGGAGAAATGGCACACCATCCACAGGCGCCATGAACGAAGCTGGAAGAGATTATACAAACTCTACCATGAACAGAAGGAGGAACT